CTCGTCGGAATAAGAAACGTCGACGGAGCTCGCCGGAAACAGCCGCGTGAAGAACGGCCGAAATCTTTTGGCGGCCCGTGTGCACACGCGCGTGGTCGAACGGCGACGCGGCTTGGACGGACCATATGATGGTCCCTCTTCCTTCTGAGCTGGGCGGTGATGGCCAACTCCCACTCTCGGTGTCAGTGTGTGTATCTCAGCCCTTTTCAAACCAAAACCGTTACCGAAAAATTCACGGCAATGGCTCTGATACCATGTAGAAATTAAAGGAAAGAATATGTTTTATTTCTTTTAATTTGTAATCATATTTTCAACCTCTACTCGGCAATGGCTCTGATACCATGTAGAAATTAAAGGAAAGAATATGTTTTATTTCTTTTAATTTGTAATCATATTTTCAACCTCTACTCCACTACATATATACAAAAATTGTTCCAATATAGGAAATAATCTAAATAGGAATATCCCTAAACTAGGAAACACAATATTTACTTTAATCACAAAGATTTCAACATAAATCATAGACAAGAAGGACTATTTTTGACTAAAACAATAGAATTCTCGGAAATCGTAGATAAGAACAGAAAAAATGCAAAGCGGATTTTAAATGCATTGATGCTCTCAGTTTAGAAAGTTTTTCTTTACATTTTTTCCTATTCTCGAATTGATTTTTATTGATTAATTGTCCAAAATATGATCATCTTCTTCGTATCGAGGAGTTCTCGCCTTTGTCTCTTCTATGTTCTGCATTATTTTTTTTTATTTGCTGCTGTTTTTTTCAGGTTTTGGCTCCCCCACTTTTTCTTACTGTTTATTCTCCTTTATTTTAAAATTAACTCTTTCTATATCTTCTCCCTTTTCTATTTTTTTTAACCATCCTGTATCTGAACCCCATTGATCCGACTAATTCAGATTTGCACTAGGCAGGCCCACAAAGGGGGGCAAAACGCTCCCTCCCGAGGGTTTAGGGACTCCATACCCAAGGCTCAAACTTGAAACCTTTGGTTAAGGGAGAAAGGATGTCTGTCATCTTATCTCATCACTCGGGGGTCCTTTTCTATTTTCTTAATTCCTAGTTGATAAGGTTTTTCCTTTTTTTCACTCCCCTTAGACTCCTCCTGTCTTATCCCTCCCCTACTTCCTCTCTTTTTAACGCCTACCTTGTTCATGTTTCTTCCCAGCTTCCTCTCTTTCAACTTCTATGTTATTCATGCTTTCTCTCTCTCTCTCTCTCTTTTTTTTTTCTTCTTAGTAGCCTCCTTTTCATCTTAGTTAATTTTAATGATCTTCAAGCTAACAATATCTGTGGGCTACACTTAACTATGAGCTAATTATATTTTGGCCAAAACTTAAAACTAATCTTCAATCAATTAAGATAGCTTCTAATTATGAGTAGAGCTGCACATAATCCGTTCTAACCTGATCCAACTCGAGAGACCCAATCTAACCTGGCGGATTTGAAGATATAATGGATTAGGTTGAGTGGATCATCTTTATAATTCACGGGTTGGGTTGGGTCACTAGTTCATTAGATAAACTCGTAGATCCGACCCAACCCATAAATAATATATTTGTGTGTGTAAGTATGAATTATTTAGTTGATTTAATTTGATTTATAATTTTGAATATAAATACTAAATTATTTACATATTTATTAGATATTGGATCTTAAATTATTGCTTTTTTTCTTTAGTATAAACTTGTATGGAATTGTCGCTATTGAAATATGTTGTAATTTATTGTGGCTAAGTATTTTTAATTTTACTGGTTGTGTTTCTTATTAGGAAATTTAATTTTTCATTGTTGATCATGATTGTGATTATGACAATAATGATCATGTTAAGACATTTAATTTTAATATTATTATTGAAATATATTTGTAGTTTGTGAAAATTATTGTTTAATTAAATTTTAATATACTTAATTTTTTTAGTAATTTCTCTTAAACAGTTGTATTTTACTTATAAATAATTTTTTTATTATCATTTATTTGACCTATGGGTTTACATCGAATCTGTACCCAACCCAATCTGTTTATAAACCGCAGGTTCACGCATTTAATGGATTAGATTGCGTAAAAAAAAAATCATTGATCGGCATATATGGGTCAAGTGCTTTAAATTAATAAATCCGAGCCAACCTAATCCACCTGTAGCCCTAATTATGAGCTAGTATTAATATTTAAAAAATTTTAAACCAACAATTTTATTATTTAAAAAAGCCCGATAAGTATTTTTATAGAAGGAAATATGAATTGAATAATTCTAAAAAATACCAATATCAAAATAATTAAAGGAGAATTTTCATCATCAAGCATAAATGGTGAAAACTGAGCCTCGACACATATGTGTATGTTTATTCTAAATAGGGTTTATTGGTTAAAGGCTTGTATAGTTCGCCTTAATTTAGTCGTGATCTTGATCCGGATTTGGGTTGTGACACTTACACTATAAATTCAGAGCAACTACACAATTATCAAATATTTTTTCTCCTTATCCATTTTCATGTATTTCTGGCTATTTATTTTCAATCATATATAGATCCCTAAAATCAATTTTCAGCCTAAGCTTCTCAACATCCATTTTAAACTGACCCAAATTATTGTTTGTTTAACATCATCCTTTTATAAAAAGGATGCAAAACCAAATATCAATAGTGCAACACTTAAAATTAGACCATTGACAATATTACAATCACTTAATAAGCACATAACATGCTTAAACTAAAAATTTGTGAACAAGGCGTTAAAGTTTTAGCTTTTTTTCTTTAATATTTTTTGTCATGAATGTTTGACAAATGGTTATATGTACTTAAATAAAATTATGATATTTGATTTCTTGTGAGGGTTTATTATTAAATAAAATTATGATATTTGATTTTATTTGATTTGAGAGTTTAGATCTTGATTTGCAAGTGGAGATCTTCGATCGATGGAGTCTGGTAATGCAGTTTGTTCCTCCATTGATGATATTGAGGCATAACGGTGAAAAGTCATATGTATTTATCATATGTTTCAAATTATTGAAAAAATAATTTAGTTATAGAAAATCCAGATGAGTTATTATTTTGACATCCGAATCAATTGATAGACTAGTTGCTGCTATGAAGATTTATATTTTTTATCAAGATCAACTCCAAGCGAAAAGATCTAATATTATATTTTTTAGGTTTTATTTCATTATTCAAAAGTATATAAATTCTTTTATTTCGTTAAAAAATCAACGAACTTTATTAGATTATTTTTTATCAAAAGATCAACTCAAGCGAAAAGATCTAATATTATTATTTTTTTAGCGTTTTTATTTTCATTATTCAAAAGTAATATATAAGCGAAAAGATCTAATATTATATTTTTTAGGTTTTATTTCATTATTCAAAAGTATATAAATTCTTTTATTTCGTTAAAAAATCAACGAACTTTATTAGCCAGTAAATTATATGTCTAGTCTATATGCTTATTTGTAATTCTTGATATTATTATTAAAAAAATTAACATTGCTGCTAAAAAGGTAAAATGGATATACATTAGGATCATAATTAGATACACTAAAATCATAATCGGATAACAGGATCAGATTTAGATATACTAAAATCACTTGAGATTTTATTCTAACAATAGCTTTACTACCGTAAATACTTTTACTACTTTTTAAACTATTTTAATTGAAGAATAGACCAAATAAATAGATATGAAAACTGGGGTTTGCACATAATTGTCATATATTTTAATTAATTAAAACCAATTCAAAATTGTTGGTCTTGGAAATCGAACACAAATTGATGGGTTCCTTCCTTTGACTAAAAAAAGGAATCTATGCCCATTTCGATTCATTAAATATAAAATATAAGAAAATAAATTTGATATTGTATATAAAATAACAATTTTATAGAACTAATTTGATTTTATTGGAACTTTAATTAGAATTGACTTATTGTAATATAATTAATAGAAAATATCATTTTGCATCTTTCCAATTTAGGTTTATACTTTATAGTAAAGAACTTATTCTTTTTATCAAAAATTGTCAACTTTCTTTGTCTTAATAATGCTCTTAAAAGTCTTTCTTTATTTTGTAATTTATTACCAAATAAATCATTTCGTATCTTCCTAATTTGGTTTTCTAGTAAAAGTTTTATATTTCTATAAAATATTTTCAGCTTTCTTTTTCTGTAATAATACTCTTAAATACCTTTCTTTATTTTGTTTGATTTTTTTACAAGACTTCTAATTACCTTTCTAAATTTCATTAAAGCTCGTAATTATCTTTTTAAATTTATAAATCAAAGGCTCTTAATATTAATTTTCCAATTTAGTTTAGCCATTAAAAACTAATAATAAATTGCTGACATGTTATAACTAAATCAATTCATTTTCCATAAAATTAGAAGTAGAGGAAGTCAAATGGCCCAAAAAAATATTGCGGGCTACAGAAGTAGGTGACCTTTCTTTTTGTGTTAGAGAAGGCTCGAACCTACGATCTTCCACTCTCCATATCTTCCATACAATAAAATTATAATTTCTTCATAATTGTTTATTAGTAATTTTTCTAAAGGTCATATGATTACAAATACGTAGGCTGTACTCCTTAATTAAGTCCCTAATCCGACGATAATATATGCTTAGACCAAGTCCATACGCACATTTATGGACAAAAACTAATAAATTTTGTAAAAATTATTCGTACTTTATCTTCTTTTTCAGAGTGTATGATCAAAAGTACCTCATTTCAATAAAAATTTATACTTTCATTGGTGGTGGTCCAGGCATGTCAATCCTCTAACCAAATCAAGCCTAACTTCCTCTATATAAAGACATGCATGGTTGTCCACTCCTTAATTACCAATCCCCTAACCTAATCTAGAGAAACTTCCTCTACATAAAGACATGTTGTGTTAATTATTATTTCATCAAGAGAAACTTTATTCATACAACTCATCTTCAACTACATCATCAAAGATGTACTACTCCTCTATATAAAGACATGCATGGTTGTCCACTCCTTAATTACCAATCCCCTAACCTAATCTAGAGAAACTTCCTCTACATAAAGACATGTTGTGTTAATTATTATTTCATCAAGAGAAACTTTATTCATACAACTCATCTTCAACTACATCATCAAAGATGTACTACTCCATATCAATACCATTATGCTTTTTTCTTTTTTCTCTTATGTTAACTGTAGTCATTTGTGTTAATCCATTAGAATCTATATGTTCTGATCTAGAATACCCTCCTCATAGTCCTTATGAGAAAAACTTAAACAACTTGCTAAATATTTTATCTACCAAGATTCCTCCTTATGGATTTGGCCTTTCGATATTAGGCAATGGCGTAGACCAAATTAATGGGTTAGGCTTATGTCGTGGAGATGTCTCAAGTAAAGACTGTTCAGCTTGTGTCAGTGAGGCTAGTAAAAAAATATTAGATGTTTGCACCGGCAGTAAGGCAGGAATAATATGGTATGATCATTGCTTCTTGAGGTACTCACATGAATACTTCTTTGGGAAAATAGATTATCAAGAGGAGTTCTTCACGTACAACCCTGTATTTGCGAGTAATACAAAGCTGCTTGAAGATAAAATGAAGGAGTTGTTAAATGGGTTATCTGTTCAAGCTTCTCAAAAAAGGACCTTTTTTGCAACAGGAGAATTAGTGTATGATGACTCGTCACATAAATTGTATGGTATGGCTCAATGCACTATAGATCTTTCTACCTCTGATTGTAAGACAAGCCTTGATGCAGCCATAAAGAAACTTTCAAGCTGCTGCTCTGGGCGCATAGGTGCGAGGGTTAAAGGTGGAAGTTATAGTGTGAGATATGAAATGTATCCCTTTCTTAATAATGCATAGAGAATCATTTTTTTAATTTTTATTGTCTAATTAAGTCTGTTATGATCTCTTTTTTTAAGGAAAAGACCATAAGATCGTAATGGAATAATTAGGCAATAAAAATTAAACAAAAAGATATATCTATACATTAATTAAGCAATAAAAATTAATCACAATAAAATTATATTTATTATATTAAGTGCGAATAAATTTCCATTTTAGCTTGATCTTCAACACACTCAATGACATGGATTTGTCACAAGCCGTGAAGACTACCGAAAGTTTTTCCACTATTTGATTATATATAGTTGTCTTTAGAACACGTTTTACATCAATATGGCGTCTTCAGACTTTCATTCAAATAATATTTTCATTCTAAATATATCCTCAAAAACACAACATTTGATAATATTAAACGGTTAGTTTCACTTCCCAAAGCATACATTTATAAAACACGAATAATAAACCAAAGTTAACAAAAAAAAAAAAAAAAAAAAGTTACAGACTAAAACACTAGAAAACAATCTAAAAACTCTATGACAAAATAAGTCATAACACCTAGGGTGCCAATTTGCATTATATTTTTAATTTGGGTTGATGTTTGATCAATAATGTAGTGACATGGGCCAGAGAGCCCTAGATATATTACTTAGATATTGGTTATGATATTAAGCCTGAATCCTATTTATGTTATTTATATGAATGAGTTAGGTAATCAAAAGCTTACTACAGGTTTTGGAAACCTTAGGCTTTCCCCAAGTCCTAATATCATTCCAACTTATCGTGATGGGTTGTGACATATGCATATTGCACTTGTCATGATTAATACATCTATAGCTCTTAAGTCGTTAGGTTCTCTACCGTGCATTAATTCTCAGTGAGCTTCTTTGTGTTGCTTAACTCTCCTCCATTTCAGTCTTATAGGAAATCCTTGAATATCTAAGCAATGCTTCTTTTACTTTCTCTCAAGTGTAATTGTGGCATAGTAAATTTAGTTGTAGAGAGTTTTGTAGTTGATTTCCAATTATAGGGTTGTGGTTGGAGTTGTATTACAATAGATTGTGTGATTTTGTGCATGAGTAAAGAAATTTTCAAGTAAGCATTTTCATATGTAAATTTATTCTAAAAAGGGTTGATTGATTATGAAAGGCTTGTACTGCTGGCCTTGTTTAGCCGCATATCGGTCTGGACCCGGAATGGAGTTGTGACACTTACACTACAAATTTAGAGCACCTACACTGCTTGTAAACTATTTTAATTTAAGAAAAGACCAAGTAAATAAATATGAAAATTGTTGATCTTGGAAATTGAAAAAAAAAAAAGATTTAATTTTATATCAATTTTTAAATTTTAATTTAACTTTTATGCCAAAATTAAAGATGCTAAAACAAGAATTATCTCTGCACTCAATAATGTTCCATATATAAAATAACCTAGAATAGAATGTAAATATAAATTGCAAAATAAACGAAATTTTTTTTAATAAATTTGAAATAAAAAATTTATAATGTAAACATTTTATCGCAAAACTAGTTAAACTCTATGTGTCATCAGTGATGCATTTCCTTTTTTGTTGAGTAATTTGGTACCTATTAAGTTTGTGATTTATCTAGGAATTTGGCATGCAAGTTAAGATTGATAACACAACATTAGAATATAAAAAATTGAAAAAAATAAATAAAAATTCAGTAATAAAATATAGAAAATTAAGAAAAAGAATTGTACACACCTTATTGAAGACCTAAGGGGAGCCTACAAGGATAAGGAATTGATCTAAATAACAAAATAAATAGACAAGAATTGTGAACAAGAAATGAATATTAACTTGTTTTGGGTAGCTTGAGTTAAGAAAATGACAAAACATCAATGGTTTACCAATCAAAAGAAGGATAAGTTTAAGGTTTTAATCTTGTGGAGTCAATTACCGAAATCCTTTAAAAAAAAAAAAAAATTCTACGGGGCCCATAACCCCCCTTGCCCTATAGTGGATCTATTTGTGGGTATTACTGTTGGAGGGAGCAATCCCGCGGTTCAGTTCTAAACTGAACCGAACTGGAAAATAAAAAATTGAACTACCCAATTTAAATTGAAATTATTTTAGTAACTGAATATGACCGAACCGCAATTTTTGATTCGGTTTGGTTCGGTTCAGTTACTAAATATCCGAATTTATTTTTTGACTCATTTTAATTTTAAATATGGACAAAAATGTATAATTCAATATCCAATTTACCGAACCGCAATTTTTGATTCGGTTTGGTTCGGTTCAGTTACTAAATATCCGAATTTATTTTTTGACTCATTTTAATTTTAAATATGGACAAAAATGTATAATTCAATATCCAATTTAGAAACTATAAATATTCTAATAAAATAGTTTCAATTATTACTTTAAACTAAAATCCACAAACTAGAATAATAAATTAATATTTCAAATCCATAAGCATTTGACAAACAATAATAGATTAACAATTCAAAATCGACAAATTAAACAAGTTAATAATTAAAGTATATAAAGGACAACAACTTAACAAGTAACTAAGTTCACACAATAAAACAATAAGTCAATAATAACTCCAAGTTTGATCATCAAATTCCATCTAGTAGGCACACACATAGAATCTATAATCCTAAAAGTTTACAAGTTCGTTCATTCTCCAAAAACCTAAAACAAATCCATAAGCATTTGACAAACAATAATAGATTAACAATTCAAAATCGACAAATTAAACAAGTTAATAATTAAAGTATATAAAGGACAACAACTTAACAAGTAACTAAGTTCACACAATAAAACAATAAGTCAATAATAACTCCAAGTTTGATCATCAAATTCCATCTAGTAGGCACATGTCTATAATCCTAAAAGTTTACAAGTTCGTCATTCTCCAAACCTAAAAAAAATGTTAGAAATAATTAATAATTAAATAGAAAAAAATATATATAAGTATTCCTCATATATAATTATGGAGTCTATATATATAATGATACTAAGATCACAACTTATTAAATATCAACCAACCTTTTTTTAAAAATATTTAACTAGTAGCATTTGATGCCGTAGCACCAATTGTGATTCCAACCGGATGTAGAGCTAAAAATTAAAACCAAACAATTATTAATACATATGCTCAAATGAAAATATTAAATAAGATAAAACAAATAATAATATTTTGATTTTATCACATACCTTTTTTAAGTTTTTCAAGTTCTTCTATATCTTCTTCAACATTTATGTAAGATGATCAAAGCCAATCTTGTTCACATATCAATTTCTCCACTATTTTAGGAGTCAAAGAACTCCTGAGTCAAGCACTCTTCCTCCGGTGCTAAAAGCACTATCTGAAGCCACTATCGATATAGGAACTGCCAATATATCTCTAGCCATTCTTCCTAGGACAGGGATATTAAAATATCACCGATTAATTTAGAAAAGACAACCACCAAAATGGGCTACCACAATAAGTTAAATACTTGGCAAGCTTCAAGCCCAAAGGTGAGGTGGAAAACCCTAGGCCAAAAGATGATTTGCCCAAGATGCCCCAAGCCCACATGGTGTGTAAATACCTAGGACATTCTAGAATACTCCCACCCACAAGATATTTTAATAAAATATCTCACTTACTCTAGAATGCTTCATGTGATCTCCACCGCACATTTTTGTAAGTAAATCATACCCGTATATTGAGGAGATGGAAATGCCTATAAGTACAACCTCTCACCTCATTTGTAAAAAGCAAGCAAAAAAACCAAGTCCAAAAAGGAAATAAGTAATTCTTTCCTTAAACTTTGTGAAAGTTTGCTTCTTATTAATACAATTTTATTTGGTGTTTTGTGTTAGTGTTATTTTGGTTGCCCTTCCCGTTATTATTTTTGGTGTTATAAATTATTAATCAATCTTGGAGTTTATCACTACACTGATATACAACAAGGGAATCTCTCACAATTAATCTTCCACCATTTTAAGATATCAAAACCTTCTTTGTTGGGAATCTCGTTCACAATTAATCTTTCCAACGCACACGCAACCACCAATTTTTAGATATCAAAAAACGCTTCTTTTGTCATCGTTGAAATTGCTTCACCCTAGATTAGACATCTAAACATCAATTTTTGCTTCCTCCCAACCATCACCTCCCACTAATCAATCTTGGAGTTTATCACTACACTGATATACAACAAGGGAATCTCTCACAATTAATCTTCCACCATTTTAAGATATCAAAACCTTCTTTGTCATCTTGAATTGCTTCACTAAGATAGACATCTAACTCAATTTTTGCTTCTCCACCACTAGAATATGAAAGTTTTATAGTGTTGCTTCAAAAAAGATTTTGGCTTTACACTTATCATACCAAGATCAATGCTACAAGTACTTACTTGAGATCCACCATTGTCAGTAGACCGATCATGCTCAGGTTGATACATATTTTTATACTTATTGAACAATTCTCTCATTGAGTTTTTCACACTTAAAACAAACTTTCACCCTTTTTTCTTGCCATACATCTTCTCAAATGCATACTCCATGTAGTCAGATTTATAATGAGGGTCAAGAACAACTGCTACATAGATAAGATTATTCATTTTGGCTATATCACCCGAATACTTATCAAATTTAGCCTTCATTTTATCACCCATAGACTTCACATCTTTTTGTACACTATTTTGCCATTCACTTAAAATAAAACACAAATCATTAATCTCACAAAAGAACAAGTTGGATGTGACATCCTTAAACCAGATATACGTAAAGGAAGCTCATAGAAATGAGAGAACATAGTCATTTGGTCGAAAATCTTTGCATCTAATTCAATCCTAAACATTGGTTCTTGCGAGTCGTATCTCTCATATGCTCTCTCATATTTTTCTATTGTTTTCAACAGAAAATATGTAGAATTTAATATAGTAGGCACATCCAAATATATAGATGACTTGCATTTTTCATAATTAATGTACTCTTTAAATTTTATCAATCTAGCTAGAGAACTCCGAACATATCTCATTGTATTCCTTACCCTCGTTACTAACTCATTCACATCTTTTAATCCATCTATTACAACCAAATGAACAATATGTGCCATATATCTTATGTGAAGATAATCACCGTTACACACAATAAGATTCCAATTAATGAATTTCTTTTTCAAATAAGAATAGCAACATCATTTGAACTAGCATTGTCAACAGTA